TGACTTTTGAAAGTGCAAATTTACGCATACCACGAAGTGGCAACGTTCCTAATCGATTAATATCTTGACGTATGTCAGCGCTTTCACGAACAATTAAAATGTAACAAAAATATTATTGTTCCAGGCCGTACTTAGTTCTGATCTTAGTTTCCTTTTCTTATTGTAATATTCAGTTAAGAGTATGAAAGACACTTGAATGTCTTCTTGAGTACCTGACCTATCAGTTTGATCAATTGGTCGAAGTACTAAAAAAGACAAAAAATTCATGGGTAAAGAAATACAATGGCCACAACTGATCAATAAATGTTCAGCATCTGTTAATATCAGGGACATATTTAAAAAGTATCAGATCATTGAAGTTCGCATTGTTAATTGCTCCTTATTCTTGTGCACTTTTTATTTCATCAGCTCCCTACAGTACTTACTTGAGAAATATCTACGTCCCTGTCCTCTTTAATTATCGTCGTGCAAATTTGATTCTTTTTTGTGTCCTGACTCACTCAACAAACTATGCATTAGGTTTCTAATATACAAAATTCTTTGACAGAACGCAATAGGACTACGACACATTGTTTTTACTCTCGATAAACTGAATGTTGGCTCGAAATTGTTTATGATTAATATGTTTTAAGCTAGAGTGTCAGCAAGACTGCTTGATTTTAGTGTCTTGCTTTCATTTTTTAGTTCTTTTCGTTTTTCTTTTTACGTACGATACCTCTTACCAGATTGGCGAGCGATATCTTTATTAAAGTAAATTAGTTTATTTCGTAATTTTGTGAGTGAAGAGTTGTGTGTCGTCCTTCGCGTTTCATATCAGCTCCGTCGTGTTTCATATTCTGCTGAAACGTGCATTTTTTACGGAGTCAGATTGTCGCTGTGAAGATATCGTTTAATTAAGGCATACTTAATGACGTGGTAAATTAAACAAACTAATAAAAGTTTACGTAATTATTCAGGAGGAGGTGTATAAATAATGAACTTGAAATATGTTGTCGAGATCAGGATTCTGACACCGTCACTCGGTTTCAGCTTCCAAAAGTTATTCAGAATGATGATGGCCTTGACAACATACATATTTCAAGTACATTGAAATCGATGAAGTTCCTGGATAATTATCGAAAATTTACATTCGAAACTATAGATATTATAAACACAAATGGCGTTGCAAAATATTATTATACAAAGTGGACGTTACTATAAAATGTTTTCGAATCCGGAAATTCATGGGAAAAGTGATAAAACTATTTGATATTTCGTTTAGGCATGCGAATTAAATACAAAGATAAAAATGAAACTTTTACGGAAGACCAGCTCGTAAGCAAGGAACCCATTGGACAGTTCAAAGCATGGTTCGATGATGCTTGTAATACACCACAAATTTTTGAAGCTAATGCGATGATGCTCGCTACAGCTACTAAGTAATATTAAACAAGTGGTTTGATTTAATACACCTTAAGGATACTACAAGGTGTTGATTTTTTAGACATGGAATCCCATCTGTGCGTGCAGTATTACTTAAAGGCTATAGTACAGAAGGTTTCAAATTTTATACCAATTATGAAAGCAGGAAAGGCCGAGAGCTAGTAAGTATTTCAAATGTCCAAGATGTACATACATGTATAAATGGATAAATTATTGCAAATATTGTAATAAATTAGTAAATAATTATTTTAAAGTATTGTAAACAATCTTTACAGGCTGAAAATCCAAATGCAGCGGCAACTTTCTACTGGGAACCACTAAGGCGAAGCGTAAGAAACGTTACTACTTATCACTGCTATAAAAATAAGAATGTTTTATCTTAAAATCTCTTATTTCAATCAGGTGCGTATAGAGGGCAAGGTGCAAAAAACTTCTCCGGAAGATTCGGATCGTTACTTTCAAAGCCGGCCGTATTCTAATCAAATAGGATCAATAACTAGTAGACAGAGCAGCATGATTGCGAGTAGGCAGACACTCATCGTAAAGGAGAGAGAATTAATAGCTCAATGTCCGGAAGGCAAAGTTAAAAGACCCGACTGGTGGTAATTAATTGCTGCATAACAATTCGGGGAAATATCGGAAGCAGGTGCACAAGAATAATCTAATCTGATTTACAGGGGAGGATACATCATCATTCCACATTCCATAGAATTTTGGCAAGGACAAAGCGATCGCTTACATGATAGAATTCGTTTTAGACGGCTTAAATCGAACGAAAAGATCGATAATGTACTCGTTCATCAGGGAGTTAATGGATGGGTTTACGAAAGACTATCTCCATAATCGTGACGAAACATTTTATGTTAAAATATAAATAATACAACATTTGTTTAATAGGTGGCTGAGAAATTGCGATTCTGGTTAAGGTTGTTGCTTTCTTGTAATTTTTAGAATTTCTCTTTGCACGCCTAAAATTATATATATGTATATATAAGATTCATGCTTGTTGATAAAATTGTAATATATTGTACTTTTATAGTGGATGACGAAAGTATTTGGACATTTATCATAAGATATTTTTATTAATATAACTATCATATGTATTGTACAGTATTTTCCCAAAATTTTACTGTTGTGTATTATAATAATATGAAGGAATTGATAAACTTTGTATTATTTACATATAAGAATGTGCATAGAAGTTGTAATATTGCAAATATGTAGACGATGCACATAAATATGTAATTATTCTTACAATACTGTAATAATGTCAAATACATAATTATACGAATATACTTACGATATACTATACTGACAATAAACCATGTGTCATTTGTACGCGTGATTAGATTCTCTCTTTTATACTAAATGTTCAAAAACTTTCATAAATTACTGTACATATTTATGCATATACATAATGTGCAAGTAAAGTAATTAGTTACCCTCTTTACTTCTCCATGCTATTTCGATATTAAAGATATCATCTTCCTCTATGAGATTCTGAAATTGCCTCATTCCTCCTCCAACACCGAAATAATAAGTTTTAGCGGCAATAAATCTAAGAACATTATGTGATCCGAAGTTATATTTTATTCACACAATAATTTAATTTAACACTTTAATAATTTTACTTGCCCGACACCCTCTTGTTTGAGTTTTCGTTTAAAAACTTCATACAGTTTTCTATGATTATCGGGATTATAAATGGTTTCACTTGTAAAAATTATATCGTACTTTATCAACTCAGTCTCATTGTCCGAATTATTTAATTTTGTGAACGATTCCCAGTCGCCGCAAAAGAATTGACATCTCTTTACGATGCTTTTCCGATCATCGATATTTAACAACACGTTTGGAATCGTTACGGTCTTAATCACTTCTACATTCTGTAAATGTAATTTTTTCTCGTACATGGAACTTTATATAACTCATACGATTTATATGTATATTTGTACAAATACAGACGTAGTCTTGAAAATGAACGATGCTATTTTTTAGAAGAGCAATGAGGCCAACAATACCAGTACCGCATCCCAAATCCAAAATACATTTATTTTGTAAATCAACGTTGTTCTCAAATAAATAATGTGCTAAATCGTAACTGCATTCCCAGATTTTTAAACCACCTTAATAAGAGAGTTCAATAGTTATTATTTTAATGGCGAATTTTCGTTTCTCTTTTAATATTAATTGACATTGGTCATGAATGCACGATTCGGAAATTTTGTAAAAAAAATAAACCGAATATGAACTACCTTCGTATTTCGCAGGTATAAGATCAGAATGTTGTGATTCTGCTTCTATGATACTTGCATAATTTTCTTTTTTCAAGTCATTCAAAGCCGTCTCGGTTCGTAATAATTTCAATTTACAACCAGGAAATATTATATTTTCCATATAATCATTAGGTTCATATTCTTTTGCAATTTCTAATGCCGA